AGCAGCGAAAGCGGCAGCTGCGGCTGCAGCAACAGCAGCAGCAGCAAGAGAAGTAGCTACTGGTCCTGGTAAGGTGCAGCAGCACAAGCACCAGCAGCAGCAGCAACAGCAGCAGCAGCAACAGCAGCAGCAGCAGCAGCAGCACGCTTGCTTTGTTGTCTCTGATGGAGATGCGAGTGCTGCTTGGCTGGCGTCCTGCAGTTGCTGCTGCAGCAGACTCTGTTCTCTCCTGAGGTTGTCTGCTTCTGCTGCAGCAGCAGCAGCAGCAGCAGTAGCAGCAGCAGCGCGGGCTTCTGCTGCACTAAGGGAGTCCAGCGCAACTGCAGCCTGCGCTTCCTTCCTCCTGCAGCAGCAGCAGCAACAGCAGCAGCAACAGCTTCATCATCATGAGCATCAGCAGCAGCAGCAACACACCCACAGGAGCAGCAGCAGTACCAAAAACAACAACCGCAGCAGCAGCAGCAGCAGCAGCAAGAGCAGCAGCAGCAGCAGCAGCAGCACGAAGCGCGAGACCTTTGCTACAGTATGAAAAAGCTAACCCTAAACCCTAAACCCTAAACCCTAATTTAGGGTGTACGTACACCGCAAGTTCCCGTAAAGACTGCAGCTGAGACTGCTGCACAGCTAAAACCCTCTGGAGCCTTGCGATCTCCTGCAGCAGCAGCAGCAGCAGCACAATAAGCAGCAGCAGCAGCAGCACAAGAAGCAGGATGAAAGAGCAGCAGCTATCGCTTCACAGCAAAAGAAACAGCAGAAATGAATGAAGAAGCTGCAGTAAGCAGCAGAAGCAGCAGCAGCAACTACAGCAGCTGCTGCAAACGGTCTTGCTGCAGGAGCTGCTGCTGCAGGAGCTGCTGCTGCAGGTGCTGCTGCTGCAGGTGCTGCTGCTTACATGTTCTTTATCCTCCAGGGCTTCGCTGTGCTGCTGCTGCTGCTGGCGTTGCTGCTCGTGATGCTGCAGCAATCCAGCTGCACCCGTCCTCGTCGAAGATGTTAGTGCTGCTGCTGCTGCTGCAGGTACTGCTGCAGCGGATCGGTACGCAGCTTCAGGGCCTTCAGGTGTATAGACAACTGCAGCAGCAGCAAACTGCTCAACTGTACAGACGCCAACAGCAGACTCGTCGCTGCTGGGGGGAAGGGCAGCCTCCTCTGCTGCAGCAGCAACAGCTGCTGCTGCTGCTGCTGCTGCGGGTCTAGCAGCGGGGTGCTCGCCCGTTTCTTGTGCTCTTGCTGCTGCTGCAGCATCGGCTGCTGCTGCGTCGGTGGCATCTGCTGCTGCTGTTTCTTCTTTTTCTGCTGCTTGATCCTTTCCCCTTGCTTCAGCAGCAGCAGCAAGAGCAGCAGATGGTGCAGCAGAGGCGGCCTCTCCATTAGTGGTTACGCTCCCGCAAGACGATTCTTGCTGCTGCTGCTGCTGCTGCTGCTGCTGCCTCTGCTGCTGTTGCTGCTGAGGGCCAGGACCGCCAGCTGCCTCGTCTGGATCAGCTGCTACAGCAAGTCTATCATGTGTGATTTCTGCTGCAGCTGCTCTTGCTGCATCTGCTTCTTCTGCTCCTGCTGCTGCTGCAGTGTCGTGTGCAGCAGGAGACGAAGACAATGGGCCGTCTGCTGCTGCTGCTGCTGTATATTCCTCTTCATCTGAGCCCCTGGATGAAAGCACAGTTGCTGCAGCATAACTAGGAGCAGCAGCATCATCAGGCGAGCGAAGAGCAGCAGCAGCAGAAAGGCTGAGTTCTGTTGCTGGTGCTGCTGCTGCTGCACTCATGTGTGGGGCTGCAGCAGCAGAGCCTCGAGGGTTCGGGGAGAGGTCAGGCCAGGCCCGTGCTGCTTCATCTATTGCAAAGCCATATTCTGCTGCAGCAGCAGCAGCTGCTGCTGCTGTTGCTGCTGCTGCTGCTGCAGAAGGCGAAGAGTCAGTCATCCACCGAGAAGCTGCTGGAGAGAGATCGAAGTACTCGGGAGGAGGGGCTGGTGCTGCTGTTGTTGCTTCCGCACCTGCTGTTCCTGCTGCTGCTGCTGCTGCTGCTGGTGCTGAGTCGCTGCTGCACCGGGGCAGCTGCTGCATCTCTCGCTTGAAAGAAGGATCTCCATTGAGGGACATTGTTGTAAAAGAGACAGACAGCGCAGCAGCTGCTGCTGCTGTTGCTGCTGCTGCTGCTGCTGATATACCTGTAGTTCTTGCTGTTGCTGTTGCTGCTAAAGGTTGCAGCTGCAGCAGTAGAGGCCGCGCCCCCCAGACCCTATCAACTAGGGCGGAACCCTTGTAGGGTTTAGGGTTTAGGGTTTAGGGTTTAGGTTATTTCAAAGACAAGCGAAACATTTTAAGGGGAGAAATCGAGGCGCGGGCCTATCCGCTGCTGCTGCTGCTGCTGCTGCTGCTGCCTTGCTGCAGCAGAACTGGCTGGAGCAAGAAGCAGCACCATACACTAAAACAGAAGTAAAGACCTCATAAAGACGCATTATAGAGTTGAGGGTTTAGGGTTTAGGGTTTAGGGTTTAGAGAATCCGCAGCAGAACCCACCCTCTTCTCGCTCTACTGTTGGGGGCCCCCAGCAGCACGTACAGGGGCCCCCTGTTGTTGCTGCTGCTGCTGCTGCTGCTGCTTGCAAACCTCTAGAGTTTATTGATTAGGGTTTATAATTTAATCTTTATTGTTTAGGGTTATTTTAGGGTTTAGAATTTACTCGCTAGGGCCTATTGCTTTGCCTCCTAGGGTTTAGGGTTTTCTCTCTCTAGGGTTTAGGGTTTTAGGGCTTAGGGTTTGCCCTGCGTAGCGTTTAGCGTTTACTCTTTTTAGGGTTTAGGGTTTTGTTTGTTCTGTGTTAAGATTTTTTCTTATTAGGGTTTAGGGTTTTGCTTCTCCTGTGTTAAGGGTTTTCTCTTCCTAGGGTTTAGGGTTTTCTGTCTAGGGTTTAGGGTTTTGTCTAAAGGATTTACGGCTGTCTGCCTATAGGGTTTAGGGTTTTCTCTCGATGCGTTTAGGGTTTTGTACTTAGGGTTTAGGGTTTTCTGTCTATTGGGTTTAGACACGCCGCTCGAGGGCTACGGGTGCTCTCTCTAGGGT